TGCAGGTAACCAGGTTTGGTTTTGCATGAAACCTAATAATGAACGATTAAGGGACGAACTTACCAGATTCAAAATTCTAACTTGTTCGGTTTGATGGAAAGCTTATGACGTCTGGATCACCTCTACGGTCTCTGAAATTGGATCGGAGAAGAAGAAAGTGAGTTACGGTAGAGAGAAGATGGAGGTTCTAGAGAGAAGGTAGAGAGTTTGGAAATCAGAAGCTTGGGGAAGAAGACGAAGCATGCAGAAGAGTGGGAAGAGTTTTTCAGAAAATCATTTTCCCCTTCCCATGCAGGACGAACGTCCATTCTCCTGCTGCCGCTTGGATTCCACTAAGGATTTCGAATGTTCCAAAGTGACACTTGGCAGTTGCATGCAGAGTGGGTGTGAGTGCGTTTTAATGTCACTGCACGTGTGGCGCGGTGCATTTAATGATGGTCAGTGTGTGGGGTTGGGTGCGTTTCTTAACACAAATTCTGAACAGAGTTTTTGGATAATTAAAATGGGATTTGACAGGTGGAGGCTGGTTGAATTTTCGAGATCTTACAACTAACAACAAATATGTAAATTCTCATTAAAAATTTTTCTTTTACAAAACAACGACAAAAACCTAATTATTTTAATTTTTTAAAAATAAAAAGAAAATAACTGAAAATTTAAACAAAACTTCTCAGCAAAATTAAAAATCTCAAAAATATTAAACCTACTAGATAATAACTAACCACCAAAAATTTGAAACTATTTAAAGACAGAAATGTGTATGAATATTTTGAAAAGACGGGTGGTGTTATTTGTAATTGTGCAGGGAGTGGGACATGTGATTAGCTGTGTACAACAAATATTGCAGTAAAAGTGGGCCTGAATTTGCTAACACCTTTCGCCATCGACAAAATTTCTTCTACCCTTTCATCCAATCCAATAATGTCAAAAGCAAAAAACTAAACATGCCAAAAACCTACAATCAAGGAACACAAACAAACATAATTACTGCCATCATTGCCCTTACTCCCTTCTTTCTACTCCTTTTGCATTACTACTTCACTTCACGTTTGCATGTGCAGTTTTCAGTACCACCTCAAAATCCTTTCATTTGGGTAGGTACAAACAAACTACACTCTACCAATTGTATATCTATCAATAACAACATACTGTTGGAAAACAATACATCTTACTCAAATCGGACTTTTCATTATTAGTTAAAACCTCAATTTAAACATCTTCATAAATTACTTTTAGTTCTTTCAACCAACCAAGTGGGTGATGAATTTCTTCAAACAGCAAATGCGCTTACTATCATAACAAAATTGGAGGTTGCTTTTTTCTTTTCTCTTTTAAAGAAATTGATACAGTAACCAACGTTTTAAAAAGGTAACCAATTTACATCCAAGTTTTATAATGACAACGTGGAAAGGGGAAGGTTGGCACCACGAATGCAATTAAAACTGTAGATGATTGCATAACCAAATCATTTAACTTTAGCCTAACATGTTAAACGAGTTAGAAAACATTACTTTCATGCTCCACTGTTACAAAAGAAAAGTTATTGCACACAATAACACAGATTCGCTGATACAATTATGTATACTCACCATCAAACTATTTTAGATTCTTGCCCAGCCTCATCATCATCGCTCACTTCCAGTAAGTTTTAATTCCATTCATAATACGGAAATAATAGATTAATTAGGTTAGCAATGCATATAACTTTTAGTAACGAGATGATATCTATCTGAGACAGTGATATTCTCAGCATATCTTTTTTTTTTTATAAAAAATCTAATTTGAAAAGGTGTCTGTATTTTTACTCTCAGCATTCAATTATTATCAGTGTACAGTGCTGTAGATAGTTTCTTGGCTTTAGATATTTTTATGATTAAGGATGAATATTTTATTTAGTCAGAGAAGAATACGAGTCCTTCTTGTTGTGCATGAGAACCATAGCAGTATCCGTTGCCATAGTTTAATAAACTCAGGGAGTGAAATCAAACGGTGGAAAAAAATAATATGAATTAATTTGGTCTTTGAAGTAGGGAAGTGAAAAAATAAAATAAAATGATAAAGCATCATCAGATATGATACATAGTAAGTAAGAAAAAAGAAGAGGAATTGAAGTAACTATGCAATGTATGAAGTGAATTCAATCTAAAGCATTGGGGCCAGCACAGGCCTTCAAAACGGGGCTCCAAATCCACTGCACCAGAAACTTTCTTCCGTTTCTACCGTTGATATTGAACGTTCTTCCTTCTCCATCTTTCATAACGGACCCGATGTAACCACCTCCACCACCCGTTCCGTACAAGCCCTCGCAGAGATCACCGATCTCGGTGGGTGCGGTGGGGTCCTCGCCGGCGTACCAGGCGTTCACCAGGGGGTTGGAGGAGAGCTCGGCCAGCTCGTGCCCGATGACGCTGATCATGCCGTCGACGCCGACGTCGCCATTGGGCGGAGTGAGGTGGCCGGGGCCGCCTCCGCCCATATACCCGGGGACGGCGAAGGGGTATGCGCACACCTCCGGGCACTGCTTGCCGGAGTTCCCAACCCAGGCGTAGGGGAGGGTGTAGCCGACCTTGGAGGGGAAGGTGAAGTAGTGGAAGCCACAGACGGCGCGGCAGAAGTCCTCCATGGTGACGTCCTCGGCCGTGAGGATCAGGTAGATCCCGTTGCGATGATCGACGGGGAAGGGCTTGGCGCGGACGGCGGTCGCGATGACCTCCTGCACGGATAGGCGCGTGAGGTGGGTGCCGTGGGAGTAGAGGAGGTCGGTGTACTCGCCGGCGATGGAGATGGAACGGGAGATGTTGGCGCCGGTCTGGTCGGTGTAGAGGGAGACAGTTTGCCACCAGTCGGAGACGGAGGGAGAGGGGGCGGCCCGGCGATCGGAGGCGGAGATTGAAAGGAGGAAGTCCTTAATGAGAAGCTTCTGCGATTGGGGCCACTTGCCGTACCAGATGAGGTAGATGTTGATCGGGGAAGACAACACCGGCCCCATGTGATATTTGAGCTTCACGAACTCCGAGGACCCCTCGAATCGCTTGGAGGAAGAGAGGGTTCGGAGGGGTGGGACCTGCGGGTTGAAGAGAGTTGGGTTTGTGTTAAGGGTTTGTGTCTGCATTTGCACACGGCCCTCTTCATTTTTTGTTGTAGTTCTGCAATTGCACACACCAATTAGCAGGAACAGGAAGAAGAGCAAGTTGGGGAATAATGGCATGGTGATAACTGAGCAAGAAAAAGAGTGAAGGAGTGGTGTGTGATGTGGGTGAGAGTGAATATGGTAAGAAGGATATTTATGTGGTTTTCAAGTGAAGGAGGGAACATGGGCTGGAGACAGCTGCCATGTGTGGGCGCACTTTTCTCACCAAAATCAATCATAAATATCTCTTTCATCTCTCTCTCACACTATTGTTTGTTTTTTTTACATTTGTTTCTGTTTGTTTTCGAAATCTTGTTGACTAATTAACCCTTTTAGGCCTTTTACTAGTTTACTTTACTCTCTCGTTCATAACAGTAGGCATGTTACGTTGCTTTACTTTACTCACTAGTGGCACTTTTGTTTTCTATTTTTTACTACTTTACCCCCTAAGCTTGGTGTTGGGGGTGGATGAAGGATGGGGTCGCTCTGCAGCAGAAAGTACGTCCTTGAAGTTGAAACTTGAAACCCTGGCCGTGATCCATGGAAAAGATTGGAACTTGGTTGGTGGGTGTGAAAAATTATGAGGTGATAGGAATGGTGTTGGGGAAGAGGTGGGCATGTTGGGATGCTGGCAGTTGCAGATGCGCATGGTACAGGGAGACAAATGAGCGAGTCGCCGTGAATGCCTCTAGTGGGGTTACAACTTACAAGGTTTCTTTCTCTTCTTTTTCTTACTTTAGCTTGTTTTCACATTTTCCCTCGCCTCAGATTTCCATTTTTTTCCTTCCATTTACTTGTGGGAGTGTTGAGAGATGTTAGAGCTTGGAATCTGGGAACTGTGTAATACCGAAGAACCCTTTCTGCACTTTTCCTTTAGCTGAAGAAGCCTTTTTGGGCTCCATCTCTAGCAGAGAACCGAGAAGCATTCCCTTTTGATAACGTTAAAGCTCTTGTCTACTTCACATTTCCTATGCTTTTGTTCTTTAAAACAAAAATTTCAGTTCCTAAGTGAAGCTATCTGCACAACCTGCTTGAGCAAAACGACTCGCGTGCTTACCACAACTCACAAATGTTGTTTATAGAAATTTAAGTTAAATTCCTTAATTATGCAATAAGATTGTAGTATATGTTTGGACGAAAAATTTGTAAGCGAAATTAACCCGATTGTTATTCAGGCTATGTTTCCGGCTTTGTTTTATCTTGAACCCTGAAATACTTGGAATCAGAAATATATCTGACGTGTTGGTTTGTGATGAAGAGAAAGGAACAGGTATGAAGTGAAGTTGGCGAGATAGCAAAAATTGAAGTTTGTTTGGGTCTTTCCTTGACAATTGATGCATCCAAGGTTACCAACTGATCCCATCCATGTGTAATTTCTGCTTACTGCTGAATTTGTCCTTCAGTCACGGCGTGCACCTTGTCTAAAAGAAATCATTAACTTATCTGGAATCAGTTAGTGGTGCCCAGTGCCCACCAGCATGGTGGTTCCACTTAAAATAATTAACTTCACTCACAGTACGTTCCGAACAAACTTCTGGCCCATTTTTCTGATATGACACGGTCATCATAATTAATTAACTAAATCCCAGTTTAGTCTTTTAAACTCAAGAAACAAGTGTCATCACTTTGTTTCTATAAATAATTTTGACGTCAATTTAGTTCTCTAGTCATTGATAGTTCCATCAATATCTTTTTTCGGTATACTGACAGCTTATATTTATCTTTTTTCAACTTATTTCTTTTCTGTTTTCATTTCTTCTACTTCTTTCACCAAATAACCTCAAAACCAAAGACCTATATTGATACGTTAATAGTGATCCAGAAAACAAATTGATATTAAGTTCACATGAGAATGATGTAAAATTTGTGTGAATAACTAAAATAGTGACACTTTGTATTTTTGGTGACCGAAAGGGAGGCTTTCACTAATTTATATATTAATTTAATACCAATTTTGGTTCTTGTTAGTTGTGTTTAAAGTAGTTTCCTATTTTTGAATTGGTTAAGTTGCATATCAGAATAAAATTGTAGATAATCCCAAAACGTAAAATTCAAAAATAAAATTCCAATTCGAAAACTCTAACCTCAGAGCTAAATGAAAATCTTAAAATTCTTAAATCACAAGATCACGAAGAACTTTAACCATTACGTTACCAACCTGTAGAGAAAATCAAACAGAAACTCAATCCAAAGAAAGAAATTCAACATTGTGATGTCAGAATCCCAAAAACAGAATATGAATTCTGAGTCCTAATACGTCCTAATACGAATAGAACTAGAACAAGAAGAAAGATTTCATGTGATGCCAATCCAAAAACAAAGAAGAGGAAGGAGGAGGGTGTTTCCTTGCGCGACAAGAAACCCACACTGTTGAGTTTGTTCTAGAAAAAAGAAGTCCCGAAAATGGAAACCAAGAGTTTCTAAAACGCTGATTAAGGTAAAGGGTAAAGTATCATTTGGAACTTGAACTAACAAAAGGAAAAATAATTAGATGACAAATTTTACCATATTCTTCAATCCCAATTCGATTGTCACGTAATGAAAAATTGGACAGGTCACTGTTATCTAAGGTGGATATTATGTCGTTAATATTTTTAAAACCATAAAAAAAAAAAGAATCAATTTGAATCATTTTTATAAAATATGGAACCATTCTAAACAATTTAAAAATAAAAAAATGACTTTGAAAAAAAACTAAGGGATCAAAATTGATATTAAACTTTTATATATTTTTGTATTTTTTGTAGGGAAGCTAATAAATTTAAGTTTCCTTGCTGGGTGTGAAAATAAAAGAGCAGAAAAATGTTAGATTCATCTTGAATAGGGTCTGAAAAATTATTGATCGATCTTTCACAATCACATCAATAGTTCAAAGCTACTTTCTGTATCACCCAGCTATATTACAGGTCGTTGTGCCATATGTTATCTATGCTAATAATAGCAGGGTGATTCTTGTTATACACAACTCTGCAGTGACAGGGTTATATTAATTTGTAGGTCATGTTTTTGATGTCTAAGGGTCTCTCTGTATAATGCATAAATGATGAAGCCTTTCATGTGTACGTATCAGAACTTGACTCTAATATTTGGCCATTGGAGCTTATGGACGTGGATACTGCAGCACGATAACTTAATTACATACGCATTTTTTCTCTGCAGCACTTGGCCTTTATTACCTACCTGTTTTTTCTTATGCCATTGCCATATTTTCCAACATGGAATCAGAATAACTTTCATATTGCATTTGGTTCGAGATGCTTATGGTCTATAGGATATTATTAAATACTACAACGAATAATTTGTCTTATAGTGGGTAGTTCAACAACATATGGTCCTATTGGAAATTGGAAGGCTGGTTTTGTAGTCAAGAGTTTAGAACATAGAGCATTCATATGATTATTTGAAAAGCACTAACGCGAATATAGAATATCCAAATTGGTTCCGTAATTATTAGTATCTAATATTAATTAATATTTTACTTAAATTAGATGTTTTGGAAAGATTAAAAAGTAAGTGGAAAGATTTTAATGAAAAAAATATGTAAATTCTGTCATTTATATATATATATATGAACAGACAATGTGACTCAACAGTTAAGAGTCACTTTAATCCAGTTTGTGACTTCTCTTAAACTAAATGACCGTAATGTTAAGGTGTTTGGTACATTCATGAAAGATTATACGTGTTGTGGTATGAAGAACGTTTTTTATTTTCACAATATGATACTTGTAGCCTATAACATGCCACTTGCAAATATTGGAATAGATAAATAATATATTCTAATTCATAAGTAGTTTGTAAACGAAGCATGATATTCTTGTTTCTGATGAAGACTTAGAAACCATACTTTCCATTTTGCTCTACCATGAAACAAGAGATGAAGCAAAGAAGAAGTATTGGCCCAAGATATTTTGCTCTACACCAGTACATCCTTCCCAATCTGTGTCAGAATAACAAAAAATTTGCAATGATTATATGTTTGTGGTGAAGGTTGAGATGATATATTTTGGTTGACTTTTAGTGTGACATTAACAACCCACTTATCAATTATATATTGGACATAGGCTTTACATTAATGGATCTGTGGATCTCTTTCTACGATTTTCTTGATATTTCGCTTCCTGCACTCCCCTTTGCATTAACAGAAAAAGACTAAAATACCTTCACTTACTATTGTATCCGTTGCTGTCATTGTCACCACTGTAGAGGAAGAAGAAAAGAGGAAAACCTGCAAAGGAAGAAAAGAGAAATATAAATTGTTGTGAAAAAAAAAAAATAAAAACTCATTCTGAAAAGTATTTTCAAACACATTTCATATATTCTTGAAAGTTCATTAAGATATTATATGCGTTTTAAAAAACTTGTTCCAAAATAAATTTTATGCATTCCAAAAATCCCGTTCTCAAAACCCCCCCCTTCCATAAGTCTCACTTTGGAAGATCTCTTCTGGAAATCATATTCTGAAAAACTTGTTCTGAAAATTTTCCATAACAGGAAACGTGAAACTCACTTTTACAAAAGGTAAAATGTCATTTTGAAAATTTGAGGGTGCACAAAGAAATTGTGGAAGTACAGAAAGAAAATGCCTTTTCTACGATCCGAATATTAAGCCCACAAGGAAATCTAATGAAGTGTGGGTCAGGCTAATGGGCTTTGGGCTTCTTTAGTTGCGCAATTGTAAATCACCTGCTTGAGGAAAAGGGGAAAACAGGGTAATGAAAATTAAAAATGACGAGTGAAAATAGATGAAAAAAATAAATAAAACCTAAAGACGTTTTTATTGAAGATAAACAAAGAAAAAGAAGGAAGAAAAAGATGTTAAACATACATTAATAACACCTTTTTATGAAAAAATTAGTTTTAATCTTGACCTATAATCTAAAATTTTATTAATTTAAAAAAAAAATATTATTTGGCTAGGTGGAAAGTGAAAATATATTCAAATAAAAAAGCAACTTGTATAACCTTTGCTTGGATTTCGATTTTTCCTTTTAGATTTATAATTCCAAAATAAATTGCGCAAGTATCTTGTTTTCTTTCTGTGTAAGTACATATATGTTTTTTTGTTAGACAGTAGCTACACAGTGTACACATGCCAACATTTCATAACTACACTATTCAAATTGTCAGCTTGTGTACATTGGCCGCAAGTAGACGACTACTGAGTACTGCCACCATTAATTTTGTTTAGAACTAGTTTAATTTATTACGTTAAGATGCTGGTTTTTTCAGGT